AGCTCTTCCACCCACGAGAACAGCCAAATTCCCATCAGGAAAACCAACTGCAGCAAGCTTCTCCTAGAAAATCAACAGCCCACGATCTTCCCCTCCATTTCTCTTTCTCGGCTGTTGGCAACAATCCTCAGCTGGGTCATCCAGGCCCAGACCACGCTGATCCAGTTCAGCTGGGTGCTCTGAGGTGAAGATTAGTTCCCCGCTGCAAGTAGATGCTGTCTTTCGCCTCTAAAGTCACGTGTGGAGCCATGGAAATCTCAAGGGACACCTGTTTATAATGTCCTTGACCCACTGACCAGGCCCCACCCCAGGACCTAAATAACGTCTCCAGAGGGCCATGCTCCAAAACCAGCAGGTCGGGACGGTGTTTCAGCCCGGAATTGGGTGGGGAGACTGCAAACTTGAGTCTTCCGCATGTCATTTCTATAGCGCTGACTTTTCTGTTCCCAAACCAACCTAGCTGTGATAACCCTAACAATAAACATGCTTTCACACGCCTGGAGCCTAAGGCCAGCATCTTCACCTCGGCTCATCTGGGCACTGTGGGAAAGCACCGCTGGGCGGCCGTCCACGGCGGAAGTGGACCTCTCACTGCCCTGTCGGCCCAGCCCAGGGCATGCGGACTCCGCCTCGCCTCGGCCTGGTCACCCCAAGTCCTGCCTGATCTGGGCCTGTGAGTTTGGGGCGGCCCAGGCCAGACAGGCCCAAGGCCTTTGTGTCCCGGCGCGCGGCCGCGGCCGTCCAGCAGGGGGCGGTGCTGCTCCAATCCAATGGGGGCGGTGCTGCTCCGCAGAGGCGCGGGCCGGAGAGCCGGCTTCCAGCCCCTCATTTTTGCGCGAATATTCTTTCAGGTAGCATCCGGCCCTGAGCTGCAGTGGAAAGCTCTGGAGTCGGCGGTGCAGCAGGAGGGAGCGGTCACGGCCCGGCCCTGCGCTGCGGAGGGGCTGAGAGGATTAAGGCGGCAGGGACGGGCGATCTCCGGTCCAGACCAAAGGCAGCCCCGAGTCCTCGGTAGTTCTTCCGCGTGTCTCATGCACGATCCGGATACACCGGGAAGCATCCGTTTGTCTGAAATTCAAATTTAACTGTGTTTTCATTCGCTATTCGTCGGACAGTCTAAGCGGAAAGCTCTTGGGCACAATAGGGCAAAGCTGAACACTGGGCACCTCAGCCCGAGCCGTTAGGGGCGCGGCGAGTCATCAGGCGCGAGAGCGTTCACGTCCACGCCCGGAAGCGTCCGCGTGGGCAGCACCGCGGCTTCTGGGCAAGCAGCCGGCCCGGAGCGGAGCTATGCGACCTTCGTGAGCTAAGCCCCGGTGGTCACTCAGTCCCGTCTCTCGCTGAAGGCCATGCTGGGAAGGCCGGCAAGGGGTCAGCGCGGAGCCGCCCTGGTCCCCTCCCTGCTCTTCTCCTGTCCCCAGCTAGAAGTCAGCGCCTTCCTGAGCAGGGCAGGTGAGTGGGACCAAGGGAGAGGGCGGAGAAGGGCAGAGAGCCGGGAGGAGGAAGGGGGGCAGGGGCAGTGCAGTGACAAGTGTCTCAGAGGGGCCCCCAGAACCCCCAGGCTGAGGGCTTCTCGCGAAGGAGCCCTGAGGTGTCTTCGTCCTTCGAGCGGGAAGCTGTGGCCTGCGGCAGCGCTGCACCCTGCCTTGGCCCAGCAGGTCCGGTCAGGTCCCTCACCCGTCACCAGCCCAGGTCACTGAGGCTGCTGCTCCTGGGCGTGCGTGCGTCTCTGTGTGACACACAAGGCTGCTGGCACCGCTCCAGGATGTCTGTGTGACAGCAGGAAGGGGGGCAGCCTGCCCTCGGAGGGAGGGGGAGGGGAGAGAGGGAGGAAGGGGGGAGGGAGAGAGGTCTTCGGCTTGATGTGATTTTTAATTTTATTTGTATCGGTCCATCTCGAAGTACAGGACGATCGCATCATGTGTGGGGAGTTGGTTCGTATACACAGCTCATCTCCCTGAATTTCCTGCCATATGAGGTTGCAGAAACACTTTTGGACTCTGTGACCCCACGCGAGTGCACTCTTCCATCGCGAAATGCAGCAGCGCACAAGGCGGTGCACATGGCCGCAGGATCTCCTCCGTTTCCCTTCTAGGGCCGCAGGCCAGGTGTGCACTTGGGATCAGACAGCGGAGGCCCCGACCCTTTGGTTTTTGCACGCTTAACACAGGAAGGGGCTGAGGGAGGAGCAGGACCTCCGCTGTGAGGACGGTGATGTGCGTACCTTCGGCAGAGCCCGGGGCTTGGTGTGCAGGAGAAAATCCGAGTCCTGTCATTATTATGGAGGAGCAGAAAACACGGGTGGGCGGCGCCTCGCTCGGTCCTGCGTCCTGTAAACCCCACCTGCCCTTCGCTCTTCTGCCTTTGCTCCGTTCCTTTGCTGCTCCCTTTCTTTGGGTCAGAACCAGTGGACATGGGGGTCCATAGATTTGGCCTTCCTTCATTTCGCGTCTGTCTTACATGGAAGACGAGGAAGTGCGTGCCAGGCCTGAGTGGACACCGGGTTTCCGAGGAGGAGAAGAAGCGGAGCGAAAACGGGGAGGGGGAAACGGATGGAGACCGAGGGGCCCTCAGCCTCCCAGAGGCCTGGGGACAGCACGGGGACTCAGGCCCGGGCTTCCTCCAAAGAAGCTCAGACAGCCTCCTCGCCAGGAGCGGCTCCAGAGGGTCAGTGTTGCAGGGGACCCCCTGGAGCCACCCTGAGGATGAGCTGCAGCCGCAAACACCCCACCAAGGCCTCTGGGGCGGGCGGTGCCCTGACTCGGTTTCCCAAGCACCCTCAGCCCATCTGCTGCCCTCCCCACATGGCCTGAAGCTCCGGACACATTTATCAGATTTTTTGGGTCCCATCCAAGGAACCTGTGAAGGATTTTCTGAAAACAAATTTGGACAGGCTCAAAATACAAACAAGCATGAGTTTTCTTCAAATCTAGAACTCTGGTAAAAAGAATTTTTGAGTGATGAAGGTATGCCATGTACTGTAATTCTTAAATAGCCAGAAGCTAGGCGCTACAGTTCTCGTTGTGCAGACAAACAGAAGCTCTGTGAGCTAGTGGCTGTCAGTATCTATTTACTGGTAGACACTGGCTGGTATTTATTTGGTAGGTGCTCAATAAATGTTTGTTGAATGACTAAATGAAGTCAAGAGGTGCATATAAATGCACCCGAGTGTATGCACATACATGTACGCTAGATTCAGGCAGGTGCCACACAGGCTGCAACCCTGAGCTCTCAGCCCCACCTCTGCCACCTCTCTACCACTGGCTGTAATTCTGGGGTGCATGACACCGACAGGGTCACCTCCTTGGAAATAACTGGACACAAGTGACCTGCCTGGGGTCAGTGTGCAGACAGTGCCAGTGATCCAGGGCTTTTCCAGTTTAGGAAAATGTTTACACAGCAGCTGTGAATGCTCCACATTTCTTCAGAGTGGGTTTCTGCAAGCTTTGTGTTACCTAGAACGAGGATAATAGGGCACTCGCTGGGGACTTCTGGGTACAGGCAAATGCTTCTGTGGAATCCTTAGCAGTGCCGAAGTCCCGGGAGGGCAGCGGGGTAAAGATTCCAAAGAAGCTGGCAAGAGAGCTGTGTGCGAGCTGTAGGGTCCCAGCTGGGGCAGGATAAAAGGGGTGCCCAGGCTGGGGCCTCCGGGCCACACGAAGGAGCCCCATCCCTGAGGGGGACAGGAGGGGTCCCTGCCCAGCCCGCCTCGGCCTCCACCAGCCTCCCAGCCCCTCGGCAGGGCTCCGGCCAAGGACGTATGGGGTCTGTGTGGGAGGCTCCGGATAGCCAGGCCGCGCCCCGGAAGCTGGCCCGGGTCCCAGAAGTACCCCCTCCCAGGGAGGGTGGGCGCGCTGAGCCCTGTGGGTGGCAGCGAGGACCTGGACCAGGCCTTCACCAGGGCGAGCGTCGCTCTCAAGGCAGCCTGGACTTTCACGTGTGCTTTCTCGACTCAAAAGCATATATTTTCACTCACTTGGATATGAGACTGTCCTTAAAGGAGAACTCTTGGCTGAAAGAAAATTGGAATCACATTCTGTCAGAAATCTAACAAGCTCCAAACAGTATTTTAAAGAATTCGGTGTTTTGAACCCTAACGTCGGTCCTGGAGATAATCCATCTTCAGCTGGACTTCTGTCACCAGGGACCGAGGGTCCCAAAGGCTGTGCCCTTCCTCCTCCTGTGCTGCTCATGTCCATGAACACCTGCTGTCCTGCTGGCTGCCTCTGTGCCCACTGCTGTGTCACATCTGAGGGGCTGCGTGGTCGGGCAGCTCGTTATTGGAGAAAACAGCCGGACTGGAACCCAGGCCCCATGTCCGCCGTCATCTGTCCACCTCGAGGGCTCTTCACTCTGAGATGGACTGAAAGTTACTCTCTGGGCTGGGGCGTCTCGGTGCCCAGACTTCATTTATATACAGCACAGACATTTTGAGAGGAAATAATACCCACAATGAAGGCGAAGTCTCTGTGTCCCCTGAGCGGACGAACGGGGGACGGTGCAGCTGCTGCCTTCCTCCCTGTTCCCGTTTTTTTTCTTCCAAGCAAAACAAGCCAGTAACCATCAAAGTAACAGTTCTGTTTAGTGCCTTCTCTTGTCCCGTGTTATTGCTATAGAACACATTTCTCCCAGACTCAGTAAATGACAAACACACCTCACATCACGGCTTCTGTGGGTGAGGGACACAGGTGGCATCTGAAGGTCTCCTTGAGGTTACCATCGGTGTCGGTGTCGCCTGGAGCCCAGCTGAGGGAGGACTCGGTTCTGTGCTGCTGGACACTGGGCACCTGGTGATAGCGTCCTTCTCCACTGTGGCTGGTGTCGGGCAAAGCCGGGCAGGGGAGCCCAAGGCAGAAGCCACCGTGCTTTGTGTAACCTCATCTCAGAAGTGACACGCCATTACTTTTGCCATGTTCTATTCATTAGAGGCAAGTCAAAAGGTCCAGTCCACAATCAAAGGAAGGGATTTCAGAAGACTGTGAGTGTCGGGAGACAGAGACGCTGGGAACGTCTTCCAGGCCACCGATCACATGCTCCAAATTAAACCGCACCTTCAGGGTGCCACGGAGAGACACGGCGAAGCACAGCGCCCTCCAACCTCTTAAGGAAAAGCATTCTCACTGTCAGGGAGGACTACTCACCCCAAAACCAGAGCTGGCCGGTCTGATATTTTGGAGTCATCTTGCTAAGTGGCTGTGTATTCCAGGGGGACAGGTCTGAGAGCCGCCTCCTCTCCCCCTCCTCGGAGCGTGCTAATTTCATAGTTAGATTTTTTTTTTCCATCTGAAGCAAAAGCCAAGCCTTCCCGAAAGCAGCAGTGAATGACGCTTGCTGCCCGTGTGTCAGAAATTGCTACTGACATTTCAATTTTGCTTAATTTTTCTTTCTTTGATAGTATTATGGAGAAAATTTACATTTGAATAAAAAGCAAATAGCGCATGTCAGGGTAAGCATCAGGGAATGTCAAATTGTTTTTTTCCAATTACAACTCTATCTCAAATAGGGTAATGCAATTAAAGAATAATTACCAGAAGCACAAAGCCAAGGTTACGATCAGAAGTGGTTACCCTTTCACTTTAAGCCCTGTCTTGCTAAATAAAATATTCCTGGGGGGCAAGTTACTGTTTGGAAATAGAAGACGCTCATCGAGGAGCCAGCACAAGTTGACCAGCACAAGTGCTTGTGTATAAATGCCAATGTTTAAAAGTGATGAAAAGATGCTAAAGGTGAGCTGTGTATCCCTTGGTGTCCCACTCTGATTAATAATATGATAAATTAGCTGCAGGATGCAATATTAATTAACAGTATATTAGTTGCATTTTATTGCCAATAACATAACAAGCTCTGAAATAGTAGTCAGACTAAACTGCTGATGCGGGCTTTTCTGCAAACTGAGCTGTACTTTGATTTCTCATTTGTCCAAGTGAAGCATCAGCAACTGAGTAAAACCAATTACCTCCAAGCCCACCAAGCCCTCGGCAGCAACTTAGTGAGCCTGAGCTGGGCCCAAATGCTATTACTTTCAGATTAGAGCCCTGCTGGAGATAGGGGCCTGGAAGAATTTCTACGGTTGAACATAATTCAATATGGCAGCACAGTTGTGGAACGCTCTTTTGGGCCAAACAGGAAGCAGAGGTTCCGCTCACGTGGGAGACATCAGGACCCCGTGCTGTCCACTTCCGGAAACAGGTTAGCAGGTCCAGAAGGAAGACGTGACAAGGAAAGCATTCTCCTGACCCCATCAAGTGAAATTCCCAGGTGGCAGTGCTCATTTTGAAAGTGAAGTCCTTGCTTGGGGGTGGGGCACACCTTAGGAAAAGGACCGACATGAACTCGCCACACCCTGAGGTAGGGACTCCACAGCGAGTGTGCACTAGGTAGACGAGGTGGTGAGGTGAACACCGGTGGGGCCAGCTGTGGGGCAGGAACTGGATCCATCGCCCTTCGTGTTTGTTTACTTGTCTCCTCCACACCCTTTGCTTTTTGGCATCTACTTTTTATCATCCCACCCTTACGCACACGCACACGCACATGCAGCATGTCCTCCCCTTATCTTCACGGCAGCCATCACTGCCCGCCATTCCACTTTACATCACCTCATCGTTTATTGACTTCTCACCAGCGTCGCCACCCAGCTGCCAACTGCGGAGTCCGGTGTGTGTCCCTTTGTGCACCACACAACACCCCCTGCCACTTGATAATTTGATCAAAGAACCCATTAATAGACCTTGCACTTACCGGGGGGACCCAAGGTCTGACTGCAAAGGGTTCAAACATGGTTCCAAGCAGGACTACCTAGTGAGGGACCGCTCAGTGAGCTGCTGTTTGGTGTTTTCCTTAAACTTCTCAATAGCCCTATGAGACACATTTCTATTTCTTTTTCTTTTCTGACAAAGGCACACAGGCTCTGAGAAGCCAATTTAATGCTAGAAAGAGGGGAGCCAGAATGAAATGGGGTCTGTGTGGCTCTGATTCCAGACCGGCCCATCCTGCAGGGCAATAGTGGTGGCAGCGGTGTGGCTGCCTGGATCTCCTGGTATCTCCGGCGAGCAGCGGAGGGCTCTGGCCGTGGATCCTGGACCTGTGGTTCTGCACCCACCTCCAAGTGGGGTTTGCTGGCCCAGCCTAGAATTCCACCCCAACTCCTGGCCTGGCATAGGCCCAGCACCTGCCAGGCATCTATCTACTTTGAATAAATCTAACAAATGAGCAATAAGTAAGACATGAGTCAGGCCGGGGATTTAGCACAGTGGTTCCACCACCTGCCTTGCAAGTGCAGGGACCTAAGTTCCATCCCTGGTACCAAAAAAAAAAAAAAAAAAAAAA